TGTCTGTTAGGTTCATTTGGTTGAAAATGTTGGTCAAGTCCAATCTTTCCTTACTAATTTTCTGTCTAGATGAGATATCCATTGTTGAAACTGGGATATTGAAGCTCCTGAGTATTACCATATTGCAATCTATCTCTCCCTCCAGATCCTATAATTTATAAATTATGGTCTGCTGTTGGATGAGTACATATTTATAGCTCTTCTGTTCTCTTGATGAATTGAGTCCTTTATCATTATATAGTGTCTTACTTTGTCTCTTTTTAGAATTTTTGACTTAAAGTCTATTTTGTCTTAAATAATTTTAGCTATCCCTGCTCTCTTTTGTTTTCCAAAATAGTTTCAATTATGTGTGTCCTTAAAAATAAGAAGAGTCTTTTGTAGGCAGCATACAATTAAATTGTTTTTAAAAAAACAAGACTTTTAAAATCCATTTATCACTCTATAGCTTTCTATTAGGTTATTTAATACATTCACATTCAAGGTAATTTTTGATAGGTAAGGATTTAATACTGCCATTGTGTTAATTGTTTTCTGCTTGTTTTGTAGATACTTTGTTTTTCTCTCCCTCTCTTGCTATCTCCCTTTATTGTTTGATATTTTTCTGTACTGGAATGCTTTCTATTTTTGTTTTGTCCTTCTACTAAAGATTTCTGATTTGTGGTTACCATGAGGCCTACATAGAACATCTCGTATTTGTAATAGCCTATTTCAAGCTGATAACAACTTAACTTTGCACATAGCAAAGTACTTTTATGGCCCCTTCCCCATATTTTATGCTTTTGATGTCAGAATTTATGTCATTTTATAATGTGTTTCTTTTGACAATTTATTTTAGCTATAGTTATTAATACTTTTCTTTTAACCCTTGCACCAGGAACAAAATTGCTTTGTCACCATTGCATTCCCAGAATATTCTAAATATGGACCTGTTTTACTTATACCATTTAGGTTAGTGTTTTCATTTGTTTCAATTCATTAAATACCAACCTTTTGTTTCAGCTTAAAGAACTCTCTTTAGCCATCCTTGTAAAGCAGGTCTCATGGTAATGAACTCCCTTAGCTTTTTTTCTGGGAAAATTTTTATGCCTCATTTCTGAATTACAGTTTTGTGGATGAAGTATTCTTGGTTGGCAGTTTTTTTTCTTTAGCACATTGAATATATCATCTTTAGCACTTTGAATATATGTCTCCTAGCCTGTAGGGTTTCTGCTGAGAAATCCACTGATAGTTGTATTGGCACTCCTTTTTATGTGATGTGTTTCTTATCTTTTGCTGTTCTCAGAATTTTTTGTCTTTGATTTTTGGTGGTTTGATTATTATGTGTCTTGGTGAACTCTTCTTTGAGTTGAATTTGATTGAACATCTCTGTGTTTCCTATACCTGGATATTGGCATCTATCTCCGATTAGGGAAGTCTTTAGCCAATGTGTCTTTAAATACGTGTTCTTGCCCTTTATTCTATTATGCAAAGGTTTTTGTTTGTTTGTTTGTTTGTTTAGACAGTCTCGTTCTGTTGCCCAGACCCGAGTGCAGTGGTACAATCTTGGCTCACTGCAAGCTCCACCTCCCGGGTTCACACCATTCTCCTGCCTCAGCCTCCCAAGTAGCTGGGACTATAGGCACCCACCACCATGCCCCAGTAATTTTTTTGTATTTTTAGTAGAGACAGGGTTTCACCATGTTAGCCAGGATGGTCTCGATCTCCTGACCTTATGATCCAGCCGCCTTGGCCTCCCAAAGTGCTGGGATTACAGGTATGTGCCACTGTACCTGGCCAGGTTTGATCTTTTGATGGTGTCCATAGTTCCTATAGGTTTTCTTCATTGTTTTTCAGTCTTTTGTCTTCTTGTTCCTCTGACTGGATAATTTCAAATTTTCTATTTGTTGGCCCATTGATTTCATCAGAAGAAACATCAAGTCTGTTGTTAATAATTTTTACTGAATTTTTCAGTCCAGTGATTGTATTCTTCACCTCTAGGATTTCTACTTGATTCTTTTTAATGTTTTTATTTTATTGCTGAGCTTCTTACTTTGTGTATTGTTTTGCCAAATGTCATTAAATGTTATATTTGTATACTCTTGTGTTGATCTTTTAGAGGATTATTTTGAATTCTTTGTCAGTAATTTCATAGATCTTCTTTTCTTTGGTGTCTATCATTGGCACTTTATTAGTTTCTTTTGGAGGCGTTATGATTCCTTGATATTTTGTAATCCTTGTGTTCTTGTATTGTTATCTGCACATTTGCAAGACAGCCCCTCTTCTGTGCTTAAAGTTGTTTTGAGGCAGCGATAAATCTTTGCTATTTAGTCCAGCCTTTGATTCTGGAAGGACCAGCTGGTGATGACTCCTGGCAGGCAGAGCTTATTGTGGGTTCTCTAGTTGGTTGAGATGTTGCCTTTGCTCTGATATCATCTGATATCCACATCTGGTATCAGATACTGGCTGGCTTGCACTATCTGATGAGACCACTGGCTGGGCTCTGGTCAGGCCAGTCACAGTGTATTCTTTTAATGAACAATTTCACTATTTGGGTTCTTTAGTTGGACAGGACCATAAGCTGGGCTCTGAGTTTAAGCAGAGTTGCTGCTCATGATAGGTGGGACTAGGGGCAATGCTCCTTAGAAATGCATGATTGAGGATTGTTTCCCTGTAAGGGTGAATCCATGGGATGGGCTTTTGGTAGGGTATGACTGCTGCTTGACTTACGTAGTCAAGCTGGTTTTGTCCCTTTGCTTCTTTCAAATGGGTAGAGGTAGGCATCTCCCTGCCTGGTTGGGGTCACTGGGAGCCTCTGAGGCTGGGCGTGAAGACTAGTTGTCTTGGGACCCAAGCTAGGTCCCCCTGTGTTTCTGAAGGTTACTAGCTTAGCACCGTGGGCTATGAAGTTTGCTAGTATCTTTGATTGGGTGCCACAGCTGGCAGGAACACAGAGGTATCACCAAGATTCATGGTGCTCGTACTATGACCACTGCCTCCTTTCTTTGTTTCTACCTGACTCCAGTGGTCAAACCATGCCATTTTCCTTATTTTCTCTGTGAGATGAGACTGGAGTGGGCTTCCTGAGAAGAATCTCAAAATGCTAGGGAAGCTGGATGACTGTTTCCGGTCCTCTTTTCCCTGGTAGAAACCCTGGGCCTAGGGAAATCATTTGTCTAGTGTTGTGTTGACTTGGGGAGAGGCTGGTGGTGTGGTCAAAGTAAGACAAGTCTTCTTATTCTTCTATTCAGTTTTCATTCAGTTCTTTGGATCACACAGACATCTCAGGCTTGTTTGTAAGTGTTGGAGTTTACAAAAAGATGTTCTGGTCTGTGTATAGTTCCTAGTTGAAGTTTCTTGGAGGGGAACTGGAGCATGAGATTTCCTTTTCCACCATCTTGCTGATGTCATGCTTAAGAAATTTATTTTAAAATAAAAACTTATAATTGCTGTAAATGGAAAATGAGTAGATTACAAGTTAGCATAAAATAAACAAATTGAAAACAAATGAGTATTATTAAATTCTGGCTAATTATTATACAGATACACCTCAGTTTACAATGGGGTTATGTCCTGATAAACCCATCATAAGTTAAAGATATCGTAAGTTAAAATGCATTTAATACTCTAAGAAACCCATTGTAAAGTTGAGAAAAAGCAAACTGTTTTAAGTTGGGGATTGTCTGTATTTTCTGATAAAGGTGAGCCCGAGGCTTATACTCTGATTTTTTTCTGTAAGAAGTTGCCAGTATTGAGGTATTTTAGCACAAAATTGATATGTTATCCATGATATAATCAGAGGATTGAAAGAAAATTGGAACAGGAATAATTTCCTCACACTGTAATTTAGTGTTATTTAACTATTTTCACATATGCACCATATATACTCCACTCATTGGGAAATTCCTGCAGAATTAATTTGAAATCCTTTTTGTGGCATGTAAATCCTTTCATGATCTCTCCCTTGCCTGCCTTATCTTCTACATTTTTCCCTTGCATTTTCTCCTTAGCAAATTGGATAAAGGATTATTACGATGATTAAATGAGTTCATTCATATAAAACACTTAGAAATGCTCAATAAATATTAGCTGTTACTATCATCACTATTATTATTATTATGTTTTTCTAATTAGCATATATTTTGCCTCTTTGCAAACACTGTCACCTATTCCTGGAACATCCTGTCCCATTTATTTGTACAGCTATTTTTCTCTATAAGTCTCAGCTCAAGCGCTCTTCCTCTGTGAAGGCTCTCCTGAAATACACAAACCTCCCTGTACCTTGAATACATTCCCTTATGTCAGCTAACACATTGTCTTTGGTTATATACATGGTTTCTACTGGTCTGTAACTTCCTTCAGGGCAGAGACTGTATCTTCTTGTCTTTTAATCCCTAGCACCTCACCTAATCAGACAGTGGCCATTGCCTACAGTATTTATTTTTTAATTCAATTAAAATGTATTAAGGGCTTATATATGCCATACTTTATGCTGGATATTGATGGTCCAAAGATGAAAAAATGGTCTAGAGGTAGAAGTTTACTGAAAATTGATTTGCATTACAAATATTAATTTTTTATTTAAAAAAGCATAAGGCTCCAGTGGGACTTGAACATACACTCTCACTTTATAGGGCTAAGTCTCAGACCATTATGCTGAGAGACACACTAGAATTCTACATAATTTTTTTCTCAGTTAACAGATTTTTTAGGTCTCCAATGGCAAAGGCTGTGTATCTGAGTGTTATTATCCCTTTCAGGTACTTGGCATTAATAGTTTATCTCAGGTAAATAATTACTAATAAGATTCATAATTATTTGAAATGGCATTGTGGCTGCTTAATCTACTATTGCACAAATTAAAAAATCACTTAATATACATAGCCTGTAGCTGTGACTGAAAAGCTAGGATAATGGATGCTGATGGAAATCATAATTAGTATGAGTGAAATGTGTACATGTTAACATGGTATAGTGGCTTTATTTATGATACATCTGTGCAATGAGTTTCTTCTTTTTTGTAGATCATTTTTAAGTCTGGAGATACCAACGATGATTTAGGATTGGACTTTGGAGAATTTATGCGGTATCTTCAAGACCATGAGAAGAAAATGAGGCTGGCATTTAATAGTCTGGACAAAAATAATGATGGTATGTGTGTTTTTTAAACTACAGTTAACTTAATATGAATATAACTGTCAGTCTAAAGGGCACTTTTAATAGCCTTTAATTTACTCTTACTATCAAAGATTTGGTTATTTCTGCTAGTTGTTCGGCACTAATTTTTAAATTTCTAAGAATAATATATAAACTATATTTATTAGTACTATAATTCCTATGTGGTTACCATCTTTTTAATAAAATAATTTTTCAGAAGCCTGTGACTTCTAAATTTAAAATTTCTTTGCTTAGTGAGTAGTGTTTTCCATTTTTTGCAATATATGAGCTAAAAGTATTATGATAATTAAAAAATGACATTTGTTATTTTTGTGATGACTATAAAAATGTATTGGTTGCAGGAAAGTTAGAAAACACAAAAATGTCCCGAAAGAAAGTAAAGGTTACTTATAACCCTGCTATCTAGAGACCAATTTTAACATTTTGATACATTTTAATGTTTCCTTCTAGACTTTTTTCTCTGTTTCTTTCTGCCTGCCTTTCTCTTTAAATGAAATTGCAGTCAAACTGTATGTATAGTTTGGTATCTTCCTTTTTTCTTTTAATGCTATATTGTAAGCATTTTCACTTTATTTAATATTCTTCCCTCTGGTCCTTTCAGGCATTATTCTTCCTCTTGGGACTCTCCCGGTTCATCACGTGTTTATATGTGTTAAACAGTAGTAGTAGAGAAGATTCTTTTTTTTTTTTTCTTTTTTTTTTTTTTTGAGATGGAGTCTCGCTCTGTTACTCAGGCTAGAGTGCAGTGGCGCGATCTCGGCTCACTGCAAGCTCTGCCTCCTGGGTTTGTGCCATTCTCCTGCCTCAGCCTCCCAAGTAGCTGGGACTACAGGTGCCCACCACCACGCCCGGGTAATTTTTTGTATTTTTAGTAGAGACGGGGTTTCACCCTGTTAGCCAGGATGGGAGAAGATTCATTTTTAATGACCCCTGCCCAGTTGCCTAGAAGGATTTCCAGGCCTTATGCCAATAATGGAGGCAAGTGGATGCATGTGGGCTGGTCTACTATCAAATTCACTCGTTAGAAGGATGCAAGGCCCCATGTGAACTGACCTGGTTAACTTCTTTCACTGTATTAGTCCGTTCTCATGCTGCTAATAAGGATATACTTGAGAGTGGGTAATTTATAAAGGAAAGAGGTCTAATGGACTCACAGTTCCACATGGCTGAGGAGGCCTCACAATCATGGCTGAAGGCGAATGAGGGGCAAAGTCACATCTTACATGGTGGCAGGCAGGAGAGCTTGTGTGGGGAACTCTCATTTATAAAACCATCAGATCTCATGAGACTTATACACTACCATGAGAACAGTATGGGGGAAACTGCCCTCATGATTCAGTTATCACCACCTGGCCCTGCCCCTGACACGTGGGGATTGTTACAATTCAAGGTGAGATTTGGGTGGGGACACAAGCCAAACCATATTAATCACCAAGAAAGCATCTAAACCCCTGCTCTGTTCTGTCAAAATGTCCATGGAATGCTGTTGCAAATATGTGAATGAAGTAATTATTAAATGTAATTTCATCATTAAGGTTCTTTTTTTGGATAGAGCTTTCTGGGGATTGAGGAAATGGAGGGAATGGAACTAACATTTACTGAACTCTCCTACTTGCCATATTTGTTCTACCTATTTTACCTTCTACATCTTATTTTTATCTCACACAATCATCACAGCAGCTACATTTTATAGTTGAGAACTCTAAAGCTTAGGAAGGCTCAATAATTTTGCTTACGTTGGGTATCCCAATGACCAAAACCTCTCAGGATTCATGCCCTTTTGTTGCCATGTGCCACACTGACCTGGGCTTGGCCATTTAGCTTACTTTAGCCCTTGGAACATAAGCAAATCTTGATACAAGTACTTGTACATTGGGGCTTGTCTTCTTGAGTGCTGTCTCTTGAACACTGTAAACCACCAGAAAAAAGCCTAGCTGACATGGGATTATTTTGGTGCTTCTTCACCAGCTGGAAACCTTTGTGGCTGATGGCGCCTTTGCCCAAGTTTTGCTTGTGCCCACTGGGCTTGCTCTGCCCACTTGGGCTGGCAGGCTACATTCAGCTTGTGCTGCTGGCCTGGATCCCGCACCTGCTGGCTCTGCACTCAGCCCATGACTAGTCCAGGCATGCTGCCTTGAATGCCTTCCACCTTGGGCACCAGTGTCTAGATAAGGGGGATGCAGTAGCACTTGGCAACTCAGGGAAGACAGCAATTGCAGAGCCCCAAGATGTGTTACAGCCTTTTGCTCGGGGAGTCCTGAGCACTGAGCCACCAGGAAACGTTACAGCTTGTTTGTGTTACAGCTCATTTGTTCCTGCCATCCACCCACTTTGGCAAATGGGGGCCTGTCACAGCTTGTTTGGTCCCACCACCCTGCTCCAGTCATGGCTCCTGGGCTGGCCCAGCCCTGCTGCTGCGGCTTCCCATCACATAGGGTGGCAGCCCATTGCTGGGGAGAAGGGTTACTGTGTTATAGCTCTGACTTGGGGAATTCTGAGGTCTGGACCCCCAGAAGCGTTGTTGCTCTTCATTCCCATAGTCTGGCATATGGGAGCATGTCACTGCCTGTAGCTCAGAGAGTTGGCCAGGAATGTGTTATAGCCTTTTTTGCTCCTGCTGTTTGGCAGGCTCTGAGTTCTTGTCCTATAACCAAGAAGTATGAGTTTACATGGACACTGGAGAGTCAGCAAGGCAGGGCAGAATTTTATTGAGTGAAAGGAGGAAAGCTCTCAGCAGAGAGGGGACTTGAGGGCAGGTGGCCCTGTGTGTGGGAGTGGGCCTGAAAGTGGGTAGTACAACGTGTGGCTGAGTCTGGGGTTTCTAATGAGCTCCGAATGGGGGAGTGCATGCTGACTGGTCCATGGGCAGGCCTGGAAAAAGCACCATTTCATTGGGTAAAAGGCATTGAGGAAGTTCTCGCATTAGTCGTGGACTCTGGTAGCTCACTTTTCAGACTTTGGGCTGTCTTTGGTTTGAAGGTTGGGTTTCAGCGGGGACTTACTCATTTTTGCCTGGGAATTCATCTGCCTCCTGCTGCTATCATAGCTACCCAGGGGGAGAGATCACCTGGAGACAGCTACCCAGTGAGTCCTTAACTGTTCTATATTCTCATCTGAGGTGACAGACATGTGATTGAAGTAATCTTGGCCAGCTGCAGTGGAACCAATAGTTGATTAAATTTACATGAATGACCAAGACAAGATCAGAAGAAGAACCAACCAACTGAGCCAACAAGTTTAACCAAACTGAGATTGCATATTCATAACTAAATATAGTCTTTGTAAGCCACTAAATTTTGGGGTGATTTGTAACTTAGCAATAGATCACTGGTACGGGAATGGAATATTTTACATTTCTCCCTGGAATTACATTGTTAGAATGGTTGCAGTCCTCCCCTCCATCTCTCTAAATACTGTTATCCCATTCAATTCATTTCAATTCCATCTTCTCAGTGAAAGCTTACTGCATATAATTAAAGACAACACTGAATGTCCCTTTAAGCCCATAGACCTTGATTATGTTCTGGATTGGATTACCTATTTTTTTCCCTACATATTTGCCTAAATTCTAGGTTCTTTTAGGTAAGGATTACTTCATATATTTTAGTCAATTAAGCAAACAGTATTCAAGCATTATATATGAGCTAGTGCACTAGGAACTGTGTTAACAAAAGTCTTCAGAAACACAGTTTTGGGTGGAGTAATAAAAGACGTATATAGCTATACACAAGGTAGACTATGATCATTGGTATAAAAGTGATACAAGAAGAACTTAATTGTGTCCAGGCACAATTAAGATTTGTACTGGGTTAATATACAAACAGAAATGAAAAGAAACGGTTTCTTGAGCGGATACAATAGCTTGAACAAAGGCATAGTTGGGAAATTACCAGAGAAGGTCAGAGCTGATTAAATGACATTTCCAGTTTGTCCCTGACTTACTATTTTTTTGGAACATTTCATTGATATATAACATATACTGCAAAATACATAAATTATAAATGTAAGCTCCATGAATTTTCACAAGGCAAACTTGCAGCATGAAAATAGCATCTAGACTAAGAAGTAGATTATTACAAGCATCTCAGAAACATTCCTTTTTTACCCACTCCAAATCACTACCCCTGCTCTGCAGGTACCTACTGTCCTGATTTCTGATACCATATGTAAGTTTTCAATACATCTTAGTTAAATAAATATGTGTACCTTGCTCATACTGTACCTATTATTAAAATGCTTTTTGTTTCTTTGGTGGTCTCTTGTTTATCCTTTATAGTATCTCATTTGTGACTCTTATTTACTCCTTAATTTACCCTTCCATTGCATTTTATTCCTAGCTCTTCTATTAACAAACATTTAGCAGTAATTATTTTTTAAATAATTGGTGCATCTATACAAATTGGTAAACTCCTTTGGGGTATTTATTAATTTTTGGATTCCTTCACATTTAGCATAGTGATTTGCATAGTAGGTTTTCAAATTTTAAAAAATTATTAAATTGAATTGAAGAGTATAGTATTTGAAGATTATAATGATATATAAGGCAGAGGATCCTGCCTCCCCATTGAAGAAACTTTGATTTTTAGGTTGAGTAATAGACCAGTAAACTACATTCTATGGAGCTTGAAATACTGGAGGCCCTTAAGTCATTGCAAAGAGTCTGAGATTCTATAGATGAATAACGGGCTTTGTCTATTGACCAAATAAGTAACATCTCATACATATATGTGTGTATAAAGGTATGCATAGGCAGCTGTAGTTCATAAATACAAGTTAAAGGTGTGACTAAATTTATAGTAACTTTTTGACATTATGTATTTTTCAACTAGGAGACGCTAAAGTTAATTTATTTTTACATTAAAAACATTGTCCTTATATTTAAAAATATTGGATATCCTCAACTACTTGCTTTATGCAAGGCAGGAATCAAAGTTTCTTTGGACTTGGAGAGTGATAGGATTAGATCTGTGTTTTAGAATTTGAGAAGAATATGCAATACATAATTTTCCCTTCACAACCTCCAGCATTGTGAGTGGAATGCATAGTAAGCTTATATTAAATATATTCATTGATTTGAGTTATTTAACATAGTATACGATGTGTTAAAATATATACTATGATTTAGTATATAAATCATATAGATTTGATTTATATATTATCATAATATATCATAACATATCATATATCATAATATATACATCATATACATCATATTATGTGTTAAATCATGAGTTTGGTGCTGTATTTTAAGTCAATTGTTTCTTTGAAAGCTTACCTTATAAAACATTGACTGGCCTTATTTTCAGGCTCATGGATCAAATCTTCAGAATTGACTTTTTCAGTTCTTTCCAAGTCAAGAATATCTTATAGCCCTACAATTCCATTGGAAATGCCTGGGGCCAAATGTGGTTTGAAATTTAAAATTTGGATTTTAGAAAAGTAATGCAGTACATATATGATATGGGGACTGTGGGGCATCACCATGTAGTTATAAGTGTGAATGCTTCTGCAGTGAAATGTGAATATTCACACTAAATTAGATAAGTAATTGACTAAAATTAACCTAATATCTGTTTAAGGTAGATTTTGCCACCAAATGAACTTTGGTACCAATTTTCCAGAAAGTTTGTTAGGCTTTGACGTGTGGATATGGGATTATAGGTCAAAACATATGGGACTTATAGGTCAAAACCATATGGGCCTTTAAAGCCTTTTACATTGTAAGTATATTTGCCTTATTGTCTTTTCAGATACTTTAACTTGACATTTTTTCATTTTTCAAGGAGTAATAGATGCTTCAGAAATAATTGCTGCTTTGAAGTCTCTGGGTATGCATATTTCTGAAGTCCAGGCAAAAACAATTCTGAGCAGGTCAGTCCTTGTCTTTATTTTTAATAACTTTTTCTTGTGTTTTATACTTGATGTTAGGAACTAATTGCTATAAATGTGGCATTTCACCCCTTATTCTATAACTTGGTAAACAAACCTGCTTGTGTGTTTGCTCAATTCTATCTTACTTGAAATCTATCCCTTTAAGAGCAGCCTGCAATGTCATTCCCTAGGTTGACCATTTAAGCCGCCGAAACCAAATGAAATTACACATACTACCAGTGTAATGGTTTTTCAAACTGTTCTTAAGAGGGGCCTCTGTGTATTTGTGGGAGGAGGGAAGGAGAGCCAGATCAGAATGAGTTTCTGACTTCCAACTATTGCTTGAACCAAACAGTTCTGCCTTCATTTGTTTTATGTCTTAAACTTTCAGGAAGATTTCTTTTGAAGAAGGGATTCCATGGTTGAAACCATTAGTCTCTTATAGAAAGGGACAGAGACAATTTATCCTAAGGAGAAATTTTAAAAGAGCATGAGGGATGCGGAAGTAGAGGAAGGTGGAGTTGAAAAGAAAACCTTATGTTTTCTGGACGCTTTTACTCACGCTTAATCTGCCATTGTCTCTTGTACCTGCAAAGCACAAAAGCTTGATAGTAGTATGCTGGTTCTCAAACTTCCTTGGGCTTGAGAGTAAGAACTGTGAAGTGAGCACTTCGGTTAACTGTAGGATCCTCTGGAGGTGGTAGATGGGTTTTCAAACCCTCTTTCAGCTAGCTCATCCCTTAAGTTACAACAGTTTGGATTTGCCCATAATGCTGCCAAGTGTCTAGTGCTTCATATGCCCTCTGCATAGAATAGATTCTGACTGGGTTAGAATGACATGTTTAATGATATCTGTGACTTTAAACAGCCTCAAGCTGTGATATTCTAGTTTTTAACAAGGATGCAAGATGTGTTTATACCTTGAGAAGAACCAGATAAATTGTGGTGTGGGAAGTGGAGGAGACAGAAGCTATAATTGCCACGTAAGATACTACTCGAAAGATAATACTGTGAATTCTGGTGGTTTTATTTCTGTCTTTCCAACCCTTAGACCTTTGATCAATTAGTTTTTCTCTTCTTGCTGGAATGCTGTTGGTAGTGATGGGCATTCTCTTTCCTGATCTTAAAGGGAATACTTCTAGTATTTTACCATTAAAAGTGGTTTATCATCTTCGTCATGTTAAGAAAGTTGCCTTCTATTATTATTATTATTATTATTATACTTTAAGTTCTAGGGTACATGTGCATAACGTGCAGGTTTGTTACATAGGTATACTTGTGCCATGTTGGTGTGCTGCACCCTTCTTCTAATTTATATGCTGTTTTATTCTCTTTTTAAACTGAACAAATAGGTATTGTAATTGTTATTTTATAGAGACAATTTGATTGATGTTTTTATATTTAGCATCTTATTTACTCACGATTCTTCCTTGCATCCCACACTACTCATCCAGGATAATTTTTCTTCATGAACTGCATCCTTTGGAAATTCTTTTAGTGGAAATATATTGGTACTTAACTCTTAGTTGTTGAGCATCTGAAAGCATGTCTATTTCACTTTTGTTCTAGAAAGAGAGTTTTGCTCGATACACAGTTTTAGTTTGACAATTATTTTTACTCAGAACTTTGAGATATTATTCTACTGCTTTTAGATTGCACTATTAGATGGAAGATTGGGCTAGTCTTTATATTGATCCTTGGTAGGGGATTTGTCTCTTCTCTCTGTGTTCTCTTATGATCTTCTTTTTGTCTTTTAGGTTCTGTAGCTTTTTATCTAGTGAATAGGCCTGTCTTGCTTTCTTTTTATTAATTTTACTTCCTCAGTGTTGTTGTACTTCTTGAAACTATATGTTTATGTCTTATAACAGTATTAAAAAATTCTCAATCTTTATATTTTAAAATACAGTTTCCTCTTCATTTTCTTTGTCTTTTTTTATATTTTCTACTTTCTTCTTTTTCTGTGCAGCATTCTGGGTAAGTCCTTCAAATATATCTTCAATTCCCCTCTTCATCTATCTCTTTTCTTCACTTAACCATTCTATTGAGTTTATTAACAATTTTTTATTTATAGAAGTTTATGTCATTTGGTTTTTTCAGATATGTTTGATAATTTCTTATAGTTTATTATTTCTTGATTGTTTTATGATTCTTTTATGTCTTAACATGAAATATATCCTGTTAATCTGTATCTTATATCTGACAAAATATTTTGGCTGTTGTTGTGGACAAAATCTAATTACATACTGTTCCAAGAGGTATATTTTTAAGTAAATGGAAGTGTTAGAAGAAAAGGATGGAGAAAGCAAAACATTACAAAAATAAAAAGGGGCATTTTGTAATGATTAGGGATTTTATTTATCCAGAAGATAGAATTCTAAATTTGTATAGGTTTAATAATATAGCCCAAATTTATAAATCAAGAATTAATAAACGTACAAGGAAGAATAGATAAGTAGTCAATGATTATACTAAGAGATTTAACTCAGATTTCTCAGCATTTAATAGAACAAGCAGATGGAAAATACCATTAAAGATTAAATATAGCAATACCATCACCCACCATTACCTAGAAAGCATTCATAGAATATTACACTCGAAAACTGAAGAATATGTTTTTCTTAAAGCACACGAAGGATATTGATAAGAATTGCCCATACATTGGGTCATAAAGGAAATGTGAAATATTTTAATAAAGAACTGGAATCATACAGAATATGTTCTCTATTCATAAGTAATTAAACAAGAAATAAGCTTTCTTAAAATAAAAAATAAGATTTTTTTAAAAAAGAAGTAACAGGACAAGTTTGATAGAAACTTGGGAGTTTTGTCAATCTATGGATTTTTTTCATTGATATGACAACTGGTATTTTATAAGCCAGTACTCACAAAATTATATGTTGCTATGTTTTTGGAAAATTTGAAATACACTGCTGAATCGTACTCTAATTAATTATGAATTACTGATAGCAATGATTTATTCAAAATTTATTTATAGAACTTCTATAAACATCAGTCACTGCTGTAGCTACAAAAGATGCAGTTGTGAACAAAGCTGTGAACAAGCCAAAGTCCCCACTTGAGGGTTTCAGGCTAGTAAATAATTCCAGATGATTACAATGTAATGTCATAAGGCAAAGCAGATTGAAGCGGTACACATTGCTCACAGGTGAATTTTGTAGGGAATATTTAGTTTACCTGAAAATGTCTTTATGTAACCTTCATTTTTGAAGGTTATTTTTATTGCAGTTGCATTCTAGGTTGACAGTTTTATTTTTTTTTTTTTCCAGCACTTTGAAGTTATCACTAAAGATGTCTACTATTGGCCAGGCGCAGTGGCTCACGCCTGTAATCCCAGCACTTTGGGAGGCCGAGGCAGGTGGATCACCTGAGGTCAGGAGTTCGAAACCAGCCTGACCAACATGGTGAAACCCTGTCCCTACTAAAAACACAAAAATTAGCTGGGTGTGGTGGCAGGTGCCTGTAATCTCAGCTACTCAGGAGGCTGAGGCAGGATAATTACTTGAACCTGTGAGGCGGATGTTACAGTGAGCCTAGATCGTGCCACTGCATTCCAGCTTGGGCTTGGTGACAAGAGCCAAACTCCGTCTCAAAAAACAAACAACAACAACAAAAAAGATGTCTGCTATTAAGAGCTGACTCTGATGTCAGTGGTTGCTTTTTTTAGTTCCCCCTGTATGTAATGTTTCTTGCCCTCACTTCCAACTTTGCTTTCTTTTTTGAACTCCAGTATTGCTCAGCTACTGAATTTCTACAGACTCACAGTCCTACAGTAGCTAGTTTTGTCAGCTTAGTATTCGGCCAAAAATTCAAGGTTACCTGTATAGTTTCTGGAACACCGTCCAAAATTTGACCTGAAAATTCCTGCCGTCTCAGCAACCCTGAGCTCCAATCATTGTTTATTCTACCCACCTGTTCTTTATTTAGGCTCCTACTTGTCTATGCTACTATTTGAAGTGTCCCCAACCAAAAACGAGAATCAATGGAGAGCTCAACTTCTGGGTTTCCTTCTCTCAAGTATCACAACCCTGTCCTGTTTGTAGACTGATGCCTGAAAACAGTTGTTTCATATATTGTGTCCAGTTTCAGATTGGTTTACTGTGGCAATCTAAGTTCTGTAGCCACTATTTTGTCTTGGCTAGAACTGGAAATTGTACTAATCTTTTTGTTGGCAGAATGGAATTTGTTTTTTAGAATTTGTATTTACAATAATGCTACCTAAAAAGCATTTCACTAATTCCACCTTTTAGTCAGACAATGAAACAACTTAAAAAAATTGAGATGCTTAAAAATTGAGTAAATCCTAAATTTTCCATGGTAAAAAGTGAGTTTTTAAATTAATAAAAGGTTGTTTTAAAGTTGATTAAAAAGCTATAAATAGGGAGAAAAGGATCAGAAGTAAAAATAATACTTGAAGAGCCAAAAGATATAAAATTACCCTTCAATCAGTTTTATTCACTTTTCATCCATTTATTCATTGATTCAACAGATATTTATGGAAGGCTAAGTGTTGGAGATACACAGATGACTTGGTCTTTCCCTTCAAAATATCATAAGAAAATATGGGAGAAATACATGCAAGTAAATAGTTAAAAAGCAATATGGAATAAAATCCACTAGAGAGGCATTCTGCCAATTACCTGATCAGCACTCCTTGAAGCTATCAGGGTTATCAAAAACAAGGAAAGAGAAACTATCATAGCCAAGAGAGCCTAAGGAGACGTGATGACTAAATGAAATGTGCCATTTCAGCTGGGATCCTGAAACAAAGAGAGGACATTAGTTAAAAACTAAGAAACTCTGAATAAAGCATGGACTTTAGTGAATAATAATGTAGCAATATTGGTTCATTAATTATAACAAATGTACCATAATAATGTGAAATGTTACCAATAGGGGAAACTGAGTGTGGGGATATATGGGACTCTCTGTATTATCATCTCAATTTTTCTGAAAATCAAAAATTGCTTAAAAAATAAAGTCCATTTAAATAACAATATGAAAATACAGTAATTTCATGAAGTCCAAAGGAGTGGCTCCAACAATAAATATTTAAGAAGTATTTATTTTTATAGTGGTGCTAACTTTGATATAAATGTTGCAAGCACTATTTTCTTTTTTTAAAAATTTCAGCATGGATACTGATGGGTCAATGACAGTAGACTGGGATGAATGGAAGTACTACTTTTTACTGCATCCTGCAAAAAATGTCACTGAAATTATTCATTTCTGGAAGCGTTCTACTGTAAGATTACTTTGTATTTTACTTTGTTTTTATTTTGTTCTAAATGTCATAGCTGTTATGATAATATCACCCCTAAAATACTTGCAGCCTCAGGGGCTAAACTTACAATATTTCCCCCCAATAATGTTCTGCTAATTTAATGAGGGGTATTAGTATTACGTGTATAAACATAGCAACCAGTTTCTTTGTTTTCCCAAATCTAGAACTTAACATCCTAATCTACCTGTTGAAAGTGCCTACTTTGTGTTAAGAATTAATTTCGATGACATAGTATTTAGATTGTCCTAGAAAAGTGAAAAATAATGTATTTTTCTTTTTTCACAGATATGCTGTATCTGATTGGGTCTTCTGTCATAGAAAACGTAAAGTCAAATATTAGGATTTGAAAATTTTAGAACCAGAAAGGGTCAAATATTTAATAATCTACCTGCTCATGTTATATAAGCACTTGGAGTTGTAACAAAGAGATCTTGTAATTGAAGACTTTGTTTCCTTTTGCAGATCTCAGGTGTGGGGGTTAAGTTAATTATTTTTTCATGGCATACTATTCTCATTCACCCTCCTGAGTTTTTGCCTCCTCTCCATAGAGAACATAGGGGAAGCAAAGAGTACAGGCTCTGGACTGCCTGGGCTTGAATTCCACATCTGCCACCCACTTGCTATATCAACCTCTCTGTGCATCATTTTCCTCAGTTATATAGTAGAGATAAAAATGATAAACGTTTTGAGAATTAGATTAGTACATTAGTTAGTATATTTAAAACAGGGCTGAGCACGTAAGTGTTCAATACATGTTAGTTGTTATGATAGGCACTTATTCTATCTAATATGTTTCATTTGTGTTCTTGGATATTTATATATTTACATATTCTTAGGATGCATGTAGTATTGTTTCACACATGTGTTTTTGATTTGTATAGCTAGTGTTGTGCTAGAGGCCACATCTGATTTCTTACTTTATGATTTGTCCTTGACGTTATATGCTCATCTAATTTATTGCTTCTAACATACTCATAGTATGAACTTATTACTTCTTTCTTGTCTATCCCCCAAGAAATGGACATCTATTTTTTCTCCAACTTCACCCATAAAAAATGCTTTCCTTTTATGTACTTTAGAGAATTTCACACAGTTTTGTAAGTCAGAGGGAATACATTTTACAACTGCTAAGGTATCCAGTTTCAATTTTGTTTTAATTTCATGAAATATTGTCATATTTTTTTTCCAGAATGGCTAGCTGTAGCAATTCACACTCCTGCCAGAATGTATGAAGGTTCCCATTTCTTTATGTGTTGTTTATTACTTGGTATTATTCAGTTTTATAGTATTTGCTGTTCTGTTGGGCATAAAGTTGAACTTCATTGTTTTAACATGCATCTCCTTGATTCCTAGTACATTCTGAACATCTCTTCATAGGAAGATGATATTCACATATTCTTTTCTATGAATTGTCTATTTATATGCTTTATCTAGTTTTTTATGGATTTTCTATCATGTCCCTAACGTTTCATAAGAGTTACATATTTATCCTAGATAGTAATCTTTGGTGTACTCAGACTTGCACATATTTTTTCTAGTATGCCATTTGTCTGTTGTTTCTTTGTTTTGTCCATGATATTCCTGGTTGAACAGAAATCTTTGATTTTTGGTGAGTAAATCCACAAAATATGTAATGGTTTACAATTGTGGTATTTTATTTAAGAAGTGCTTTCATACCTCTTGGTCACAAAGATGTTCTCTATCTTCTATTCTATGGTTTCTGCTTTTACATTTAGGCCTTTAATGCATCTGTTAGTTCACATTTCTATACGATTAAAAGCAGGGCTCTGATTTTATTGTTTTTATATGTAGAGGGAATTTTCTCACACATCAAGCTTCCATAAATACTTGGATATTTTCTTGAACTCTCTTTTTCTGTTGCATTGTTTTTTTTTTTTAATGCCAGTGTTGAACTGTCTTTATGACTATGGTTGTGTAGTATAATACTGACCTGGTAAATACTTCCTCTTTGTCTTCCTTCCCTCATTGATTTTTCTTATCTTAAAATAATTATTCATTGTATTTATTTATTTATTATACTTAAATTTCTGGGATATATGTGCAGAATGTGCAGGTTTGTTACATAGGTATACATGTGCCATGGTGGTTTGCTGCACCCATCAACCCATTACCTGGGTTTTAAGCCCTGCATGAATTAGGTATTGGTCCTAATGCTCTCCCTCCCTTTACCCCTCACCCCCTGACAGGCCCTGGTGCGTGATGTTTCCCTCCCTGTGTCCATGTGTTCTCATCGTTCAACTTCCACTTATGAGTGAGAACATGTGGTGATTGATTTTCTGTTCCTGTGTTAGTTTGCTGAGAATGATGGTTTCCAGCTTCATCTATGTTCCTGCAAAGGACATGAACTCATTACTTTTTATGGCTGCATAGTATTCCATGGTGTATATGTGCCACATTTACTTTATCCAGTCTATAATTGATGGGCATTTGGCTTGGTTCTAAGTCTTTGTTATTGTGAATAGTGCTGCAATAAACATGTGTGTGCGTGGATATATACCCAGTAATGAGATTGATGTGTCAAATGGTATTTCTGGTTCTAGATCCTTGAGGAATCTCCACACTGTCTTCTACAATGGTTGAACTAATTTACACTTCCACCAACAGTATAAAAGTGTTCCTGTTTCTCCACATCCTCTCCAGCATGTTGTTTTCTAACTTTTTAATGATCGCCATTCTAACTGGCGTGAGATGCTATCTCATTGTGGTTTTGATTTGCATTTCTTTAATGATCAGTGAGGATGAACTTGTTTTCATATGTTTGTTGGCTGCGTAAATGTCTTATTTAGAGAAGTGTCTGTTCGTATCCTTTGCCCACTTTTTGATGTGGTTGTTTTTTTCTTGTAAATTTGTTTAAGTTCCTTGTAGATTCTGGATATTAGACCTTCATCAGATGGATAGATTTCAAAAGTTTTCTCCCATTCTGTAGGTTGCCTATTCACTCTGATGATAGTTTCTTTTGCTGAGCAGAAGATATTTAGTTTAATTAGATCCCATTTGTCAATTTACGCCTTTGCTGCAATTGCTTTGAATGTTTTAGTCATGAAGTGCTTGTCCATGCATATATCCTGAATGCTGTTGCCTAGGTTTTCTTCTAGGGTTTTTATGATTTTAGGTTTTACATTTAAGTCTTTAATCCATCTTGAGTTAATTTTTGTACAAGGTGTAAGGAAGGGGTCCAGTTTGAGTTTTCTGCATATGGCTAGCCAGTTTTTCCAGCACCATTTATTGAATAGGGGATCCTAAAGAAGCAAGAGCAAACAAATTCAAAAGCTAGCAGAAGAGAAGAAATAACTAAGATGAGAGCAGAACTGAAGGAGATAGAGACACAAAAAACTCTTCAAAAAATCAATGAATCCAGAAGCTGGTTTTTTGAAAAGATTAACAAAATAGAACAGTAGCCAGACTAATAAAGAAGAAAAGAGAGAACAATCAAATAGACACAATAAAGATAAAGGGGATATCACCACTGACCCCACAGAAATACAAACTGCCATCAGAGAATACTATAAACACCTTTATGCAAATGAACTAGAAAACCTAGAAGAAATGGATAAATTCCTGGACACATACTCCCTCCCAAGACCTAGCCACGCAGGAATCGAATCCCTGAATAGACCAATAACGAGTTCTGAAATTGAGGCAGTAATTAGTAGCCTACCAACCAAAAAAAGCCCAGGACCAGATGGATTCACAGCCAAATTCTATCAGAGGTACAAAAAGGAGCTGGTACCATTCCTTCTGAAACTATTCCAAACAATAGAAAAAGATGGACTCCTCCTTAGCTCATTTTATGAGACCAGCATCATCCTGGTGCCAAAACCTGGCAGACACACAGCAAAAAAGAAAATTTCAGGCCAGTATCTTCGATGAACATTGATGTTAAAATCCTCAATAAAATACTGGCAAACCAAATCCAGCAGCACATCAAAAAGCTTATCCACCACGATCAAGTTGGCTTCATCCTTGGGATGCAAGCTGGTTTAACATACAGAAATCAAAATGTAATCCATCACATAAACAGAACCAGTGACAAAAACCACATGATTATCTCAATAGATGCAGAAATGGCCTTCGATAAAATTCAACACCTCTTCATGCTAAAACCTCTTAATAAACTAGGTATTGACGCAACATATCTCAAAATAATAAGAGCTATTTATGACAAACCCATAGCCAGTATTATACTCAATGGGCATAAGCTGGAAACATTCCCTTTGAAAATCAGCACAAGACAAGGATGCCCTCTCTCACCACTCCTATTCAACATAGTGTTGGAAGTTCTGGGCAGGGCAATCAGGCAAGAGAAAGAAATAAGGGGTATTCAAATAGGAAGAAAGGAAGTCGAATTGTCTCTGTTTGCAGATAACATGATCATATATTTAGAAAACTCCATCATCTCAGCCCCAAAACTCCTTAAGCTGATAAGCAAAGTCTCAGGATACAAATTCAATGTGCAAAAATCACAAGCATTCCTATACACCAATTATAGACAAACAGAGGGCCAAATCATGAGTGAACTCCAATTCACAATGGCTGCATATAAAATAAAATGCCTAGGAATACAACCTATAAGGAACGTGAAGCACCTCTTCAAGGAGAACTATAAACCACTGCTAAAGGGAATAAGAGAGGACACAAACAAATGGAAAAACATTCCATGCTCATAGATAGGAAAAACCCATATCATGAAAATGGCCATACTGTCCAAAGTAACTTATAGATTCAATGCTATTCCCATCAAGCTACCATTGACTTTCTTCACAGAACTAGAAAAAACTACTGTAAAGTTCATATGGAACCAAAAAAGAGCCTGTATAGGCAAGACAATTCTAAGCAAAAAAACTGGAGGCATCACACTACATGACTTCAAACTGTACTAGAAGGCTACACTAATCAAAACAGTATGGTACTGATACCAAAACAGATACATAGATCAATGG